CCGCTGCTGACCTTCCCGATGTCGCGCTCGTCGGCGAGGAACTCCAAAGTTCCCCCTGCAAGGTCGTCCTTCATCAGTGCTAAGAAGCGGTGCGGCGTGTCCAACGGCTGTCGCCGGGGGCATTGTCCTTTTTGGCTGCTGAGCGTGTCGGAGAAGGAGTGCCATGACTCCTGGTACTTATTGTTCCGCCGCACCAGTTGCGTGATGGCGTTGGCCGCAGCGGCTCTCTGCCCGTCCCAGGGAATGAAAGGGGGGTTTCCATTCATGGGGATATCTTCCCCGTAGATGGATTCCAGGAAGCGCAAAAGCTGCCTGCGTGACCATTCCGACTCGTCGCTGTCCTCACCCACTCCGTCTTCACCCATTTTCCCCCCAAAGGTCGACCAGCGGATGTAGATCTCGTGGTTCCACTCCAACAGAAACTTCACAAGTTCGCGGACTGGGCTGTGTGCCTGCTCTCCCTCGAGACGGCGGGTAGAGTATGTGGGCAACAGAGGTGCGTTGGGGGGTTAGAGTGCTGTAAGAGCGCAACTGCCTGGAGCCTCGTCGTCTGAGATCCTTACTGTCCGCGAGCTGTTCCCGGGGAGCTTGCTAGGGATGGAAGCCTTGCCAGTCGTTGGGAGGACAGGGGAAAGGTGCGCAGTCATGTCGTAGATGTCCCAGTCCTCAGTGCCTTCGCTGCTCACTCTCTGGATGGGAGTGGGTGGATAAATCTTGTCCGAGCATGTGTCCAGCACCTCCTTGATCCATAACGACGGCATTGCCTCCCATCCTGGGAGACCTGTGCGCTCGCTTCACTCAGCGCCCTCCTCCGGGCGCCATATGAAGCACCCCAGGGCTGGCGCGCCTGCAACCCATTCGAGGCAAGGGAAGTGCGGGGGGCAGAAGTCACATTTGGCGGAGTAGCAGTTGCTACGGTGCGCCTCTGTACCAAACCTGCTGTCGGCTAGCCTTTCTGGTGGCAGTGTGGTGCCAACACTGCTGGGGCGGTAGTGGCGCGGTGTACTAAGCAAGAGCCCCGTGAGGGAGGCTGGGGCTGCTGTGTCCTTTGGTTCTTGGTGCCCCAGTGGTAGCCTGAACAGGGATGGGAGGTCCTTGCCCTTTTCTGCTCACGGTTGGCTTGTAATCTCCGCTTATGCTCCTGTAGCAGCCACTGCATGGACCTCTTGCCGACGCGTTCAGATGTGTCGGGCTCGGGGAGGGGAATGCCTTTCTTTTCCAGCGAGACGAGCCAACAACGCTCGCATAGCCACCTGCAGTTTTTCCCCTCCGTCCACGCCTGAGAGCGGTTCTGGGCGAGTAGCTCCCAGGTGTAGTCGTCTTCCCAGGTGCCTGCCGAACCTTGGAACCCGACATTATGGCACCCGTCGCAGTTGTAGGACGCCTCCTTCTGTAGCCTGCCGAAGCGCCCATCGTCCACGACGGGGGGAATCAGTGGTGTACCTGGGGCCGGTGAGGCGGGGATGTCCTCGTCGAGACGATGGTTGGAAAGGGCCTTTCCTCCGCCTATGTACTGTAAGTCATCCATGGTCCATGGGCACCCCAGCCCTATCTCTGACCCTGTCATGGCGGTGTGAAGCAGGCAGATGGAGCACTCTCCAGCGTGCAACTTTTTCACGTCGGCCGGCCGCACAATAGCCTCCAGTACGCGGAGGGGGTTTCCGAAGTGAAGTCGTGTGACTCCATTCCCGCCCACGTTTTCGGACAGCCGTGCTTGCCAGCGATGTCGTGGTGGTGGGCGTAAGTGGCCAGGGTACTCGTATGACGTATGACCTTGGCAAGTTTGGTGTGGAGGGTTTCGAGGTCCGCCAGCTGATAACCCCACGTCGCTGCGCACTGTGTGCGGAAACTTTTGTGCGCCTCCTGCCACGGGAGACAAAGGCCCATCACTGCCTCGAATATGTCGCCCGTGACCTCCGGATTTGGGAAGGGCCACAGCGTGGCACGAGGCTCACGCAGCTGCAGCATCATGACAACTAGCAGTACCCTGAGCGCCCGGGGTGAAAGCGGCTGCCCGTTGGCACCGGTTAGTGCGCTAGTGAGCTCAGTGTCGACCCCCTCTGGCTTAAGCAGGGCGTGCAGGTTCTCCATCCCTGGGTGCACCCTGTGTCTACGACACCGGCAGGTGGTGCTGCTCCATGCCGCTGGGAACTGCTGGGGCATATCACGGGGGGTGCAACAACTGTTCTTCTTGGGGGCCCGGTTGGAGCCCACCTTGTGGGGTAGCGGGGGGAGCGACTCGCACGCGACACCTAGCTGCTTGTCGTTCCATGGCGTGCCGAGCCCGAGAAACCAGACAATGGCCGCCCACGTGAGGTTGTACACGAGGTTGCTCGCGTCGATCCCAATTTCCACGTCAAGGCAGTGACCCAGGTGGCTCCATGCCTTCCTGTCTAGGCTGCCTGGTTGTCTGGGTGTGGCCCCCATTTGCCACTGGTGGGGGTGTAGCCCAGAGACGGTGTATAGCAGGATGCCCATAGGCGGGTCGTCGACCAGCTCTTGGATGCTGTCTGAGAGGGCGGCTCCAAGCTTCGCCCACGAAAACTGTTCGTCAAGTGGTGCCGCGATGCGCTCCGTGAAGGAGCTCTCCAGACTGGCCTTGGCCTTCCTCATGGCATCATCCAAGCCTTTTACACTGTCGTCCCCGGTATGTGTGGGAGCGGCGGGGATCCACGACTCCAGGTCCTTGATGGGGTCGAACCCCTGGTCACAGTGTAGGGCGGTTCGGTTGCCCATCTCGCTCCCCTGGAAGCGGACCCAGAGCCTGGCCATCCTCCCGTATTCCGAGAGCTCCCTGAGGTGCGACCCCGTGGCGGTGCTGAACATTCTTCCATCCCCGATTATGACTACGTGCGAGGTGGCCCGCGTGATAGCGACATTCAATCTATTGGGATTGTCCATGAACCCCCAGTCGTCGCAGTAGTTGGACCGCGTGGTCAGGTAGATCACAATGTCTGCCTCGCCGCCTTGGCTGGAGTCGATGGTGGAGATGCAAAGCTTGCCGTTGGCCAGATACTTTCCAGCTACCTGACCTAACCCCTGGAAGTGCAGATCAATACCATTATGTGTTGAGCTCCACTGCTCGAAGACGTGTTCGTGACCCCGATGGTCCCGGGGGTGCTGAGGGGGGTCGTTCGTTCCAATGAGCTCGCCTTTGCCGGCGCCCTTCTCCTTGTTCTTCCCCTGCCCAAGAGAGCCGCTGATGCTGCGCCCTGACTGTGGCCAACCATTCTCGAGCACGGCGCACTGCAGCTGATAGCCTACAACGACCAGGACGGTTGTCCCTTTCTCCATGGCAGGCAAGACGGGTTCCCCAGCCCTTTGTTACTCTGTATGCTCCCTCACTTCCCTGATCACCTCCATTCACCTGGGCATCGTTACTGGATGGGCAGGTGGGGATACGCGAAGCGTCAAGAATTAATTCTCTACCCCTGCCCTTTCATATCGTAGCCTTATCGTCCCCCCCGACAAACCCGACAGCGGCCACTGTTGGGTAGGAGACCCTTCGCATCGAATCGGCAACCTTTAGCGGCGGCACCGACGGCGAATCTGGGTCAACATCGACAGGGAGATGGCTGTCAGTCTTCGTCCCCGATCTCTTTGTATCCGTCTCGATCTTGGAGCCACAGACCCCATCTTCCTGCGGCATCTCTTGAGCCGGCTCGATCTGTGAGAGTCCCGTAGCCAAAACAGATTAGCGAAAACACTTGGCGCTGAAATATGGCCACGCCCAGATTCGCCCCCGTTCTGTCCGTACGGTAGGTTCGCGTGGTGTCGACTGGCAGTGTCTCTGTTGTTCAAAGTTGGATGACGCCAGCGACCCAGAATCGGTCGATGTTGAACAATCTGACGTTTCGGAAGAAGCCGATCGTTTAAGGTTCAACGATTCCCGCGGTGTCAGTCAGGGAGCATCGCCGGAGACAACACGACACGAACCCTCGTTCTGTAGCCAAACATGGGAGCCTTGCATACCCTCGCAATTCCGTCTTTAGAGTGCGTCAGCGTCGACTGGTGTCCGGTAATCAATGAAACAGCGATGATTCAGTGTCGACAATCGCCGATCAGCGTCGTCATGGCGTCGATCAGCGTCCACTAGTGCCGAACAGCTTCGACTCGTCAGAGCCAACAAGATGGTATTCGAGTGGGATATCGATTCCAGTATTGATTTACCCCGACATCGAACTCCCCGTCAAATCTACGAGAAAAGTATGCGTAATGCTCATAGATCTACGAACGTTCTGCATACCTCCGTCGCTTCGGCGAGAATCCCAATTTGGGGCAAATCGATTATGTACTAGATCTCATACTCGAAGTACGGGAGGCTCACACGAGTTGTCACAGAGCCTGCGGTACGGTAGAGGGAAACAACTTGTGGACATTCTCCCTCTCCCTCTCCCCAAAACTCAAAGCTGGCACGCGCGGAGGAGACTGCGGTCGAATTACAAATCATCAGACCCACCGCCGACTTTGAACATTGGGGGAGGGGGAGGCGTTGACCGATGAATGTGGTATGAGTGCTCGCTATTGCGAAGGCCTTGCGGACGGTGCCGCTGACCCTGGAGGCCTCGGCCCTTGACGGAAATGGGGGGGAGAGGGCGGGCCGGGAGAGTGGTATTCTGACCCAGGACCACCCCGTGGGACCCCCCCCCGGGATCTCCCCCCAGGATCCCCCCCCCGGGACCCCCCCTCCGCCCCCCCCCCTCCGCGGGGAAGGGTCAAAGGGCTTCCCTTCGACTCGATGACAACTTCGCTTCATTTCGCTGTGGATGGGCTGGTGCAATTCGCTTTGGCTGGCGTGCTTGAGGACGAGGGCCCAAGGAAGGGGGCGGACTCAGAGGAAGGAGGGGACGTGATGGCGGCAACGACGGCGATGGCGAGGGAACAGCCCCTGTCACACGTCGACAGGGGCGGCTGATTTTTTCCGAGGCCTGTGTCGACCTATCGCACCTCGACCCCGCCGCCCCGGCCGACCTCCGCTGGCGCCCCCCCCACCCGGAGAGGCGCGGAGCGGTCGCGCTCGCCGCCGCGCCTGCCCTGGAAGCCGCGGGACCTCCCGTACCCGTGGGAGGAGCGCGTGCGCACGTCGGGGGCAGCGCTGGGGTGACGGACAGAACATTTGCGCACGGTCCAGGGGCACGGCGAGGGCCCCCGAAGGCCGAAGACCATGAAAGGCCGAAGGACGTCGGACCATCGAAGGAGCGGGTGGAAGCATGAAGCAGGAAGGCGTTGAAAGTAGATTGAGATTCCACCCTCAGGGGCAAAGATGGGGGCAACGATCGGGGGCGCGAGAGAGTGCCGTGGCGCGCGGGGAGGGGGCGCGCGCCGGCGTGGGAGTGCATCGGCGGCGCGTAGGAACCATGAGGGGCAAAGGATAGGGGGGGGGTATCGGAAACGGGGGGGACGCATCGACCCCCGAGCGCCCACGGATCGCCGATGGGGGCCCGATGGCCCCAACTTGCCCAGCAGCGTGCGGATTTACCATCGGGGGCCTGCCGCCGATCGATCGGCGATGCATCGCCGCTTCCAGGTCGATGTTTCCCCCCCTTGTGCCAGTCCCCTCCCCCTATCGCTGCCCCTCCCCTCCTCCTCTGCCGCGGGGCCCCAGGCGCGTCTGCAAAAGATGTGCGCTCCTCCGGCACCGCCGGGGGGGTCGAGGGCAGCGCTGGTCCAGGCGCGGGGGGGGGGCTCGTCGGCGGAAGAAGCATGCCTGCCCCCCCCCTGGGCCGCGACACCCCCGCGTGGGCACGCGGCGTTGCTTCGCGGAGGCCCCTCGCGGAACGCCTCCGTGCGACCGCGCATCCGCGGTATCGCGCTCCTGAATCCAGACCTCGAGGCGCGAGCGCGTGGATACGGCTATGTTCGCCACTCGCGAAGTTCAAGCCGATTCCCAGGTGGGGCCAGAGCATCTGGGGCCAGAGGATCGCGCCGCACCCCCCATTCATTGGCGATGCGGCTCGATGTGGTACCCGATTGTCTCCACCCTGACATCGGCAATGCATCGGGGATGCGATACGATCATCTGACCCCATCTGCTCGAACTCCATATGGACGGGCCTTCTGAGATTGCACGGGCTCCTCGGATGCAGCATGGGCAAGTACGGGCGCCAAGCCACCTCCGCCTTCCATGCCGTTTTCCCGAATGGCCCCCATCCTCTTTTTGCGTTGTGAGCGTTCAGGACAGGGCAGCCCGAGAAGGCGTGCTGAAAAGATCGGCCCCTACGCGCCCCCGTTAGGATACATCGCCTGGGAGGTTGAATTCAGCATCGGCGTTGAGATATGCGTGGTCGAAAACCGGCGCATTCCATCAAACTCACGTCCTGCTTGGTCCGGGTTCAACTCGGATTCAGATTGGTCATTGTGTAGTCCAATTTGGACTAATGGTTGCTTATCCTGGCTGAATATCTTCATCCGTTCGTACGGAGACCTCCCAGATATGGCCTACCAAGAAAGTCTCAGGATGGGAATTGCCGAAAGTTTCCAGAAGTTGTTCCAGAGGTTTCAAAGTCTGGGGTGGCTTCCATCAGCTGCGCCTCGTCGAGAGCGTTCCATGGGGGGTGCCGAAATCGTCTCGAACGCCCGCTGGAGGCCAGAGTCCTGGCCTGAAAGCCATCAGGCCCGAGGCAACGTCAGGGGGGGTTCTTGGGCTCACTGTCGCGATCAGTCGGCGATGTGTCTCCGATTCAAGGTCGATGGGCCTAGGGGACTCTTGTGCTAGGGGCCTCTTGAGGGCCTCTGAGAACCTCTTGGATGCTTCCTCAGGGCCTGCTGGTGGTCTCAGGCGCCATCTTGGAGGGAGAGGGCTCACCAGGCCTTCTCGAGATCTCCCTGATGGGCCCTTCTCGAAGCTCTCCTGGGGGCCCCGTGAATGTTTCTTGGGGGCTCGGGGATGCCTTCTGAAAGTGGTTGGGGCCTATTCTGCCGTCTTGGACGCTCCCACGACCGAAATGGCGAGAATGCTAAAACCATGCAACGACTGCATGTCTTTGGGCGATTCGGGCTCATTTGGCCAGCCCCGAGGGCCACCAAGGCAGCCCAAGAGGCTCCCGAGCCCGTCCGTTCAGGATCGGCCCAATGAACCGAACTTAGGGAACTCAGGAAGACTGCCATCGTTTAGGATGCAACTCCTGGGAAGCTACACATTCAGGTTCACTTCTGGTACATTCGTGGCCCAGGCCCAGCTTGGTCGGGCTGAATCCTGGAGTCAATTTGGACAAGTCCGGCTTAATGGCTCCTTAATCGGGCTCAATAGCCTTTAATCCAGTTCTGACGACCTCCCAGGAGTTGCCTCCATCAACATCCGCACCCTCATCCTCGCCATCCGCCCCCCGCACCCTCCACTTCCTCAGTTCCGTCCCCTCCTGCGGTTCGAATTGCCCCGAGGAGTAAGCGGTCGCAAGTAATTACACGCAGGCTCCCGTGCACGGTCTCTGCTCTGCGCCTCTGGCGCGCGCGCGCGCGTGTGTGTGTGTGTGTGTGTTTGTGTGTGTGCGCGCGTGTGTGTGTGTGTGTGTGTGTGAGTGTGTGTGTACGTGTGCGTGTGAATGTGTGTGTGTGTGTGTGTGGCCGATCAGGGGGTCAGGGAGCGTTGGGTGCACAGGGGGGCAATTAATTGGTTTCAGGGGCAGTGTTAAGGGGGAATGGGCTCAGGGGGGGAACACACCGACGCCCAATCACCCATTCATCCCCAATAGGGACCCGATCTCCCTCTCCGCCCAGAAGCGTGCCGCTTCGCTATCGGAGGGCCCAGCGCCGATCTCTCGGCGACGCATTGCCGATTCCAGTTCGATGTTCCCCCCCCCCACACGGGCTGCCCCCCCCCCCCCCCGCAAACGACGTTGCAACTCGGCGTTGGTTGCCGAGGGGGGGGGGGGACGAGTGCCTCGTTGCAGTGTGCGCTGCTCGAGTTGGCGAAGCTGAGGGCCAGGGAGGCGGCAGACCCCCCGACCTCCGACGACCTGATATGTTTCCATCCTCGGCCCCCTCCCCGGGGCTGGCCTCTCGTCGCCCGGGGTCCGGAGGTTGGTTCCAGACGTCGGGCGCGCAGAGAGAGCATCGGGCTCCGCGTTGTTGGAGTCTGCAGGTCTGGGGACGGTACAGGTCCTCCAGCGCCGCCGCGAAGCCAAGTATCCAGCGGGACACGCAGGCAGAAGAGGGCGCTGGCGGCACCTCTTCGACAGAAACTGGGCGCGTTTCAGAAGCATTGAGAATTGCTCACAGGGAGGAGGCAGGGGAGGAGGTCACGCAGGGAAAGCTACACACTCAGTCGATGTATCCCTTTCTCCCACCAGCGGGTTCTCCAGCAGCAGACAACTATTAGAGCAGAGGGTGAGGGTGACGGGCAGCGTCTCGCAGGAGCACTGGAGCGACGACCACGGACTGCCCTACTACTGGAACTGCGAGAACGGGGAGTCGACGTGGGAGTGGCCGTGGGACCATGAAGGATGAAAGCATACCCTGATGCCCGCGAGCCACGCGTCCGCGTTCTGGACACAGACGACCGGTCACCCGCGGGGGTGCTAGGATGTTCACGCTCTGCGCGTCGCGGTCTGGGCCAGGGCGGCTGCTGCCCCTTCTCCAAGGGGGCGGCGCGAGATTGCGCTGGCGTGAAGATCATGGCGCCTCGCGCGTCGCGGGGCGCTATGCGCGAAGCGAGGCGACCTGGGAGACGTGGTCCCACGGGTACGCCATCCTCTGAAGACGCTCCGCGCTGACCGCGAGGTCGTGGGCGTGGGCCGAGCTCACCGAGGGCACGGGAGCGCACGAACAGAAGCCTCCGGAGGACTGCGCGGACTGGTAGGGTCGGCGCCAGGCCCCCTCCCTCGAGGCACAGGAAACGCCCCCCCCCCCTCCCCAAGGGCCTCAGAGGGGGACGGGTACCGATGCCTTGGCGTCGCTTGGACGTGTGTACCTTTTCTCGGCGAGGACCATGGAGGAGCATCCTGGATCACCGAGCAACAAAACACGCGCGAGATCGACAAATTCACGGGGAATGGACGTCCGAGCGATGGCGAGATACCGCTGCCTTGGCTCGGTTTCGCCCTTTGTGAGGCCTTCGTCGCCATGGCCAGACTCGCCCCGACCTTCTGGTCAGAACGCACCTCGGGAGAGGTCTGCGGAGCAGCGGTCGGTACCGGCATACACCTTATTCCTCGCAGTTTCGCGCTGATTTCTGGGATCGGCGTTGGGCCCCCTGGCGGCGCCTCCGGCGCCGCCCCTGGCGCGGAGGGAGGGGGGTCAGCGCCGATCCAAGAAAATTGCGCGGACCTCCGATCAATTTTGCTTATGCCTTTTTTGTTCCTCTACTCCCGCACTTCTTTTGCGCCGCCTCCAGCGCCGCCCCCTGCGCGTCCTGCGCGCCGATGGGGGGATGCTGGGAAGGAGGGTGTGGCGCCGACCTGACCATTCCGCACGGACTTCCACAAGTTTTGTTTGTTGCGTGGTGTCATGTTGCCACTACCCTTCCTTGGTCTACTTCGTTTTTTGGCGTTCTGGACAGCCTCGCTCTTGTGGCTATATTCGCCACGGAATCCTGGTCAGAGCGTGCCCTGGGAGAGGTCTGGGGAGCAGCGGCATCGCTATGTATTGATACCCCAGGACTGGGTCTGATTTGAGACAGCTGCCTGGCTGTTTCGCCCGTCTGCCACGCTCAGCAGTCTCAGCCTGGCCCTGTGAGCGCGTGGTCTGGTGGCCACCCTCTTCTTCATCCTCGTCTCCTGCTCCTCCTCCTCCTCCTCCTCCTCCTCCTCCTCGCTCGGTCCAGGGTGTACCAGATCTCTGGTCTTGGCGACACGCAATGACGGGGGCAGGACGAAGGGAGCGATCTTCGAGAGGGCAGGGAATTTCTCAGATGCGGCATGCGCAAGTCCTGCCGTCCCCCTACAGGAGGGGTATTCAAAAATAGTCCAAAATAGTCTGGGGATGATCCTTTAAATTTTTGTGGGGGCATTGTTTGACTATTTTCTATGTTTCCCCCAAAATCCGCCTCTAGGAGGACATGCCCGACCTAACCGTAACCCTGAATGACCACCCGCCCCTTCTTGCGTTGGTGCACGGGCACTTCGGAGAGTGTTCAACACAGGATGGCCCGAGGGGGCTTGCAGAAGGGATCTGCTCCTCCCAGCCGATGCGCTCCCGTCAGGGTGCAGCGCCTGGAGGGTTAGATTCAGCATCGGCGCTGGGATCTGTTGTCGAACACCGGCGCAGTCTCTCATAATTCCGTTTAATCATGTTTGATCTGGTTTAGATTGGGCATCTTGATTCGGTGCCCCTAATTTGCCCCTCAATTTGTTGTAGTAGCTTCTTATCGTTCTCACGAGGAGACCCCCACGGCGAGTTGTCTCTCAACCCCCGCGCCCTCCAAGAGTGGCGGAGGGGCCTTCTCAGAAGGCCGTCCCCCTTCATCGACGATAGAAGAAACCCTGACCTGAATAACAGAGTGAAGGTGGCCTCACTTAGGTCTCCGTCTTTTGCATGAGGGATCATAGATCTTGGCGGTCTGGCTTAATACATCTGCAGCAAAGACCCCCTCTATCCCTAATGTTATTTGCCCTCCTGACTTGGGCCCCCTTTCAGAGGTTAGGGGTCCTCTGATTGCTAGTCACCCCCTTCGCAGGCCTGGAGGTGGACACCAGCACCAACATCGGCGGTGTGCTCCCACCGAGGGATGGCGATCCCGATCTCGGTGATGGTGGTAACATCCGGGCTTCCTGGGTGGCCGAACGATTACCACCAGCACCAAAATCTGGGATCGTCTTCCCCAGGTGGAGGGGGTGGACATAACCCCCAACAGTGACACGTCGATTAGTGAATTGTCCGTTTTCGGTTCTCGAGATTGCGCCGCGGTCGTTATTTTACAGGCTTGCGCCCGCCAGGTTTGGGCCTCAGGTCGTTTTCACGAAACCACGTTTTACTAAAGGGGGGTCTGTCAATCCCCGACAGGTGGAGGGTCCCCCCCGTGTTGGTGCTGGTTCCCACTCCCAAGCCTCCAACCCCTGCTCTGCCTCGTGCTCTCTGGCAGCTCCCGCCGTGCGGCCTCGGGGCACACCCAGGCCCGGCTGCGAGGACGCGACGGGCAGGCGCCGCCCCCGCAGAGGGGCTGGCCTTCCCCGCCGTCCCCCCCGTCGGGCCGGCCCCGCTTCGAGAGTGCCTTTTCCGCAGCGTCTAATCGGTACCACTCCCCACCCCAGACATGATCGCGTCGTAAAGAAATCAGGGCGGCAAGTCTTTCGCTATTTTCAGCCCGTGGGGGCCCTTGCCGGCCCCCGGGAGCGTCGAAAAACGACTCAGGATGAAACACCGGCCCCGGGGAAAGGGTCGGGACTTCCGGGGACGCCGTACTGAAAAATCAGGACGTCGCATGTCTGGGACAGGGCCATGGCATCTCGGCCCCACCTTGGCGGCTCTCAGAAGGGGGCAGGGGGGAGGGGGGAAGGCTTCTTGGAAGGAGGCTGCTTCTTAGAAGGCGCCGGCCTTACATCGACAGAGAAGGCCCGCTCCTTCTAAGGAGCAGGGGTGCTTCTACGAAGCCTTCCCCCCTCCCCCTACCCCCCTTGTGCGCGCCGCCAACCACCATCGGGGGTTGCTGAAGCTGCCCCTGGCACAAGGTGCCCCCAGCTCTCCGCTCCACTTTGGAGCCCCATAAGCCCCCCGGGCCTCGTGACGGGTGCTCTGGAGGCCGTGGGGGCCTCCTTGGGAAGTCCTGGGGGCACCTTGGGCCAGGAACACTTATAGCAACACCCGACACCAGCCCACCCCCAGGTGGGGATAGGCCCCGCGAGACCGAGAGGAAGCAGCACATGTCCCCAACTAGGTCCTAGTTGGGCAAGCCAGCCAGTGGGGCCGATGCCATGCCAGTGGGGACCTGGATCGCTTAAACGATGTTCATGCTCGGCGGTGCGCGAAAGATGCTGGGGAGAGGTTTCGCGGGTGACAAGTGAAAAGTACGAGTGGACGCCCTCTGCGCGCGAGGAGGACGGCGGAGTGGGAGTCTGGGGGGGGGGAGTGGAGAACGAGGGAGTAGGGGGGAGGAGGAGGAGGAGGAGGAGGAGGAGGAGGAGGAGGAGGAGGAGGAGGAGGAGGAGGAGGACATGGAGGAGTTTTTGTTGTTGGTCTGCTGGTCGAGAGCGGGCCTCTTCTGGTTAAGAGCTAGGCGGGGCGCGCAAAGCACTAATTGAGGAGACATGGCGCGGGCGGGCGGGGCCTCGGGCGGCCGGAGGGCGTTGGGTGCAGGCGGTGCCGAAGAGCTTGCACAGGATAAGGTACGCCTTGGACAGAGGAAACGGAGGAGGAGGAGGCGGAGGCGGAGGAGGAGGAGGAGGCTGAGGAGGCGGAGCAGGCGGAGGCGGAGGCGGAGGCGGAGGCGGAGGCGGAGGCGGAGGCGGAGGCGGAGGCGGAGGCGGAGGCGGAGGCGGAGGCGGAGGCGGAGGCGGAGGCGGAGGCGGAGGCGGAGGCGGAGGCGGAGGCGGAGGCGGAGGCGGAGGAGGAGGAGGAGGAGGAGGAGGAGGAGGGGAGGCGGAGGCGGAGGCGGAGGAGGAGGAGGAGGAGGAGGAGGAGGAGGGAGGAGCAGGAGGAGGAGCAGGAGCAGGAGGAGAGGGGAGGAGGAGGAGGAGGAGGAGGAGGAGGAGCAGGAGGATGTGGAGGAGGAGGAGGAGGCGGAGGAGCAAGAGGACCAGTGTAAACCCCAGAATCATCAACGATATTGGAATGAACCTTCCCTCCAAGCTCCCTCTTCGTAGGCCCCATACAACGGTTCATTCCCATTGAGGGAACTGCTTCGGTGGAAGAGAACCGTTTGAGGATCCTGAAGCGTGCCGAAACATCGCCCTCGGGTTTTCAACGCCACATATCAACCTGACTCCTGCGTCTTGACAATCCGGAATCGTCCCAGAACGCCTCTTTTGGGACTTCAACACCGCGGGTCAACATAACTGTAGCGCCTGCATAATCCTGAATCTTTCCGAAACACCATTTCTGCTACGTTGTTCCTGGGAAGCCGTGAAATTCTCGCAACGTTTCAAAATGAATATGCGTGGCGCTAAGGCGAGAGCCACATTTTGAAATCGACCCGCCCCCAATCCGTGAAGCCCTTGCAAATGTTCAAAGACGGATGTGCGCCGCGCTAGGGCGAGAGTCGCATTTTGAAAACCGCCCGCCCTCAATCCCTGAAGCTCTTGCATTTTGTTGTAAAAAAACGAATGCACGCGGCACTAAGGCGAGAGTCGCATTTTGAAAACCACCCGCCCCCAATCCGTGAAACTCTTGCAAATGTTGAAAAAACGAATGTGCGCGGCGCTAAGGCGAGAACCACATTCTGAAAACCACCCGCCCTCAACCCGTGAAATTCTTGCAAATGTTAAAACGAATGTGCCCGTCGCGAAGGTGAGAGCCACATGTTGAACCTCCATCTGTGCAACGGTTGCCACTGTTGAAGCTTCAGAGTTATGAGTGGTGAGGAAGTCTCAGACGAAACCCCCGGCCCGCCTCGGGGTGCGACAAGGAGACGTACTTCGAAGGGGCAGGAATGGAAGAGGAGGAGGAGGAGGAGGAGGAGGAGGAGCTGGAGGAGCTGGAGGAGGCGGATGAGGAGGCGGATGAGGAGGCGGATGAGGAGGAGAAGGAGGAGGCGGAGGAGGCGGAGAAGGAGGAGGCGGAGGAAGAGGAGGAGGAGGGCGAGGGGGAGGGAGGAGGAGGAGGAGGAATGAGGATGAGGATGAGGATGAGGATGAGGATCAGGATGAGGATGAGGATGAGGATGAGGATGATCATGATGATGATGATGATGATGATGATGATGATGATGATGCTGATGATGCTGATGATGCTGATGATGCTGATGACGATGATGATGCTGATGACGACGATGATGCTGATTACGATGCTGATGCTGATGATGATGATGATGCTGATTATGATGCTGATGACGATGATGATGATGCTGATGATGATGATGATGATGATGATGATGATGATGATGATGATGCTGATGATGATGATGATGATGATGATGATGATGATGATGATGATGATGATGGTGACGATGGTGACGATATGATGATGATGATGAGGAGGAGGAGGACGAGGGATGAGGGAGGAGGAAGGAGGGAGGAGGAGGGAGGAGGGAGGAGGGAGGAGTGAGGAAGGAGGAGGGAGGAGGAAAGAGGGAGGAGGGAGGAGGGAGGAGGGAGGAGGGAGGAGGAGGAGGAGGCGGAGAAGGAGGAGGAGGAGGCCGAGGCATTCTTCCACTCCTTTTTTCTCAATTCATGTTGGGTCGTTGGGCGGTGCTTCCCGATCGCGCGTTCTGGTGGCGTAGACATGGCGGTGTTAATGATGCTATTGTGGTCGTTGTAGTCCTGGTTGGACTCCTTCTGCTTCTTCTTGGCTGCGGTATCCTTCTCTTGCGTGGGTTCTGCTTTTTCTTCTTGTTTTTGCCCTCCTGCGCCGGGTTGGCGTCCTCGGTATAATCGTCGTACGGCTTGGGGAAGTTGCCCTTGCCTGCCATTTGTGCCATTGGTGTTCATGCCAGCGCCCTTGTTCCGGTAGATGTCGGATTGTTGGGTTGGCCATTGTGCGGCCCATTTGTTTTCTCCATTAGAGGCTTGCGCCGATCGCGGATCAGCTGGGCTCGTTGGTGGTCCCCTGTCTGTCGTGCGGTTCAAGGTTAGTCTCCATGGTGGTGACGTGCTCGACGGTTTGCTCGCGGTTCATCCCCATAGTGCCGCCATCGTAGGAGTTTGCAGTGGATGTCGCGGTGGTTGTTGTTCGCTGTGGTGTGCTTCAAGTCTCAAGTCCTTCTTAGGCAGTGTGAAGCTGGTGCTGCGTACAGTTAACCCGCATAGTAAGGTCGGGCAACCTTCCCAAGGGTACCCTTGCATCTTTGGCCCTGGAGTCCATCTTTGGCCTCCGTCGCTGGCCGCGCCCCGCTCGAAAAGCCTCGACCTGGCCCTCCAAGGCCCTCACGTCCTTATCGTGCATCCTTATGATACGGGTCGGCTGTATGATTCTCGAGTAGCGTCCGTGCCGATGCTGCTCGTCGTTCTCGTTCTCGTCGATGCCAAGCTGGGTGTGCAGATGACGAAAATGTGGTGGTGGTGGTAACGTTACCTGTGTGGTGGATGATGGCGTCATCTGAGTAAAGGATCCAGATGTAGTCGAAACGGAAAGCGATGGGTAAGGGTGCAAGGGGATGTAAAGGTGTGAGGTTTGGGACGCTGGATGCTTCGATCGAGGCTGGCCCTCGCCGGCGCACCTGCCACTGTACTGGCCAACCATGGTCATTACCTCCTCCTCCTCCGCCTGGATTCGCTACTGCCTGTTTTCCAGGCTTTCTTGCTTTGCTCCAGAGCTCACTCGAACAGTCTCCAGCGTCTTTGAGTCTTGGTCTTGGCCCTCCCTCCTCCTCGCTCCTCCTCCCTCCCAGGCCCTCCTGTTCCTCGGCTCTTTCCTCCTCCCGCTCCTCTTCGCTCATTGCTCCTCTTCGCTTGGCCTCGTTCACACGCGTGCATGTTCTCTCGGGCAGGACCATCGAAGAAGAGCATCCTGGATCATCGGGCAACACAACCACGTTTTTTACGTCGCAGCGCGGCAGAGGCAGTCCGCACGCGCGCTCGGCCAAGCCGGTCCATGGCATCGCTCCTTGGCATAGGAAGGAGGGCACGCACGAGACCGAGCAGCGCACGGGAAACGGGACGCCCGAGCGACGGCGGGCTCGTGGCCCGCCAGGCGACCGCCGAGAAGCGCCGCCGCGCCGCCGCGCCTCGGCTGAAGAGGCCCAGCCGCTGCCGGTCGGGGGCCGCGCGCGGCGATGCGCGCCCCGCTTGCCGGCGAGGCGCGCGGCGGGCCTTGCGCGGGCTGGCGGCCTCGGCTCTCGCGCAGTGGCGGAGCGTCCTGGCCTGCCTCCTGGGCCCACCACGCAGGGCTCATTTCGATTCGATTCGATTTCGATTCGATTCGATTTCGACGACTTCCGATTCCGATTCGATTCGGCTTCGAATTCCGATTTGGATTCCGATTCCTCAATGGAGGCCTACTATATTGCCGATTTCCGCTGATTCGACTTCTCCCGACTTGGCTGCCGATTTCCGTCGACTCGATTGATTTCGATTGCAGATCTGACCTATCGATCCAATTCTGGGCTCCCCTGCCACGGGGAGTTCCGAGAGCCTTTCGGTGGTCTGCACGAGATACTCTCGGAACAGGTATGGCCGGGGCTGTTTCCTGGTTTCACGCATCGGCTCTCTGGGTTCTGAGAGCACTGCTCCTGTTCTGAGAACAGTCTTTGGTTCTGCGAACACGTCGTGGTGGGCCTCCCGGAATGCCGGGACGGTCGGTTTCTGCTCAATGCTCGGGGGGGGGGGGTTCTAGAGGTGCCCCTGGCCCAAGGTGCCCCCCAGCTTTTTGGGTTAATTTTGAGCCCCTGGGGTCCTTTTGGCCTCGTGAGGAATGCCCTGGAGACCGTGGGGGGGCCGTCTTGGATATCCTGAGGGCACCTCCTTGGGCCAGGGGCACTTCTAGCAACACCCGATCGGGAGGTGTGGGGGGGTTCTGCTCTGTGGGCGCCTCGGGGGAGGGGTTGCGGCGTCTAACGCCATGAAGGAGGGAAGAGTTGTGGAGGGTGGACGAGGGCGAGGACGAGGAGGCAGAGGCTGCCCTTTTGAGAGGGCGGTTCTGCTCCGTGGCCGTCTCGGGGGTGGGGGGGGGAGGGGCGGCGTCCAACGCCGTGAGGCGGGGAGGGAAGTGGTGGGTGGACGAGGGCGAGGACGAGGCGGGAGAGGCTGCCTTGCCGGGAGGGGGGTTCTGCTCTTCGTGACTGGTGGCCGCCACAGGAAGGAGAGGGGTTCACATCCTCGCCGTCGTGGTCCTCCTCCTCTTTCCTCCTGCCCCTCCTCCATCTCCTCCTCTCGCCTTCCTCCTCCCTCCTCATTCCTCTTCCTCCTCGATCCCCCTTACTCCTCTCCATTATCCTTCCTCCCCATTCTCCCCCTGGGGGGGACACGGACAAGAAGATGGGGAGGATTTAGTGTAAGAATGGCGATGAGGAAGAATGAAAGGAGGGGAAGGGGGGGGCTACGGGCGAGGTGGACGTGAGGTGAGGAGGAGGAGGAGGAAGCGGTGAAGAGAACAGGATGAGGTGATTATCTGGTGATGCTATTACATAGTGCGTTTCACCTGATCAATGTTAGCCCTTCTCAATGACGAGAGTGAGTGGATCCGAGACGGATGTAAGGAAAAAGCGAAACGTGTGTTTTTGCGCAGATCTCGGCAACGGTCGAGGTATTGACTTCACGCCATGGGGCCACAGCAGTGTTGCAGGCCGTTTCGATTGTTTGAAAACGGCTTCGGCATCATTTTGCGGTCTCAGATCCCACTGTTTCGCAATTGTACGGGATGCGGCAACAAAGAAGCTAGGCGCACTGGGAGCTTCACCGAAAACGATTGCCACAATGCGGCATTCGCATCTGCAAATGGATGGGGTCCTTCGCCAGGGTAACGTTGGTGTGGTTTTGTTTCCCTCAAAGGGGCATGCGTGCATACAGTGGAGGCCCATGCCAAGAAACACCCTGCTTGCTTCCAGGGTGCCCTGGGTTTCTTGGGTTTCGATGGTTTTGCCATGGAAGGAAAGCGTGACGCTGCCACGCCAAAAATCGATGGACGTCCTGAGGTCTCAGGGTTGAGTTTCTTGTGGAAGGTTTCTTGTGGTCGGGCCCTTACTGTACCGGTGGTGGATTGGGGGGCACTGCAGCACCGCAGTCATTCCCTCGGGGGAAGCCCTCTGATTCGATCGACTTTCAGGTTTTGGCCACCAGGCTGCGGTTGACTTGAGTCACTTGTAGGCCATGGCGCGGATGTAGTGATCGAGTTCAATGAATTGATGGTGATGTGTGGCGACCCATGTTGTGTTTGACGGGGCGGTTCGTGAGTAGACAGGCAGGGTTGAGCGATGGTTGCCCTGACCAATGCTCGTGGGGCGGTGATCACGCTGACGATAATTTGTAAATGCCCTGACCAATGCCGATGACGATGGCGATGCTATTGACGACGATGACTGTGGTGATGATCACAGTGGTGATGGTGGTGATGCTGCTGTCAATGGTGATCGTCGTGGAGGTGATGATGCTGGCGGAGGTGGCGGTTGGCGTGGTGAAGGATGAAGGCGGCAGGAGGAGTAGGAAGGAGGAGGACCCATGGGCGGCCAGTGGGTGCTCCAACCGACCCCGCCAAGCTGCAGACTGTCGGGCCCCTCTCCAGCTAGCAAGCAGAGCGATGGGAGTGGTTGAAAGCATGTCGGTTGTCGTTTTGCGCTTGGCCAACCTGCCGGTGGTTACCTCGCCGCGACACTGCACGAATAAGGAGGATGAGGAGGATCGGCAGCAGGTGATCGTTGTGATAGTGATGGGATTGGCGGAGGGGGCTCTTGGCATGTTGAAGAGTAAGCGATAGTAACAAGAAGAGGAGGGGGAGGAGGTTGAGGAGGAATAAGTGCCGTGGTGCGGACTTATGCACGTTCTCGCTCTTATGTGTCCTCATTGTTCCAGTTTCGCACGCACTTATCGTAGACTCATGCTGTGTTCACGCGCGTGCTTCCTTTTTTCCGCACGAGCGTTCAGACGCGGCGATTGCTTCGATCAACATCGGTTTAGCGTAACACAGGAGGAGGTGGAGGTGGAGGAGGTGGAGGAGATGGAGGATGAGGAGGATCAGCAGCAGCAGCAGCAGCAACTCGGGGCTGGCGCTGGCGCCGCGTCGCCAGGCCCGCCACCGGAGGCGTGCAGGGTGCGGGCCCTGGGGCCGTCCGCAGCCCCCGGTGTTGGGCACAGGCCGCACTGGGACGAGCCGCGGTGCTCCAGGCGGGCGCCGCCTTCCCTGGGATCCTGGCGGTACTCACAGCTGCATCTGATTGGGTCCTTCGCCAGGATAATCTTTCCGAGCCAGGCGTTTTCGCGTGGCTGGGGCCCCAGGACCCTCACAGATAGATCCAGCTCGAGAACTGGCCTAGGAGGATGGGGTCTAGTGCTCCAGTCATTGTTTTTTCCATTATGTTTTCCCAGCCATCCTGTTGTGTTGGGTCTTCGTTTTGAAGAGACAGCGCGTCTCATTCCTTTCCTCCTTCCCCCCCCTCGCTGCCCTCCTTCCCTCCTCCCACCCCTGTCATTTCTGCCTCTGCCCTCTCCGCATGTCTCTGTTTAGGAACATCTCTGACGCGCTTCATGGCCCCATAGGGAGCTCCAGGTAAGACCCCAGCGGCGACGCTCGCATGTGGGCGTCGCGCCCGCTTCGGCGCACCTCTCACGCGTATGCGGGCGTCACGCCCGTTTTGGCACAATCCTCACACGTTTAATGGCCCCATAGGGAGCTCCACAGAAGGACCCAGTGGCGACGTCCGCATGTGGGTGTCTCGGCCGTTTCGACGCACCCATTACGCCTTTCTTGACCTCATAAGGAGCTCCACGTAAGGCCCCAGTGACGACGTTCGAATGTGGGCGTCACGCCCGTTTTTGCGCACTCCTTATACGCTGTGTGGCTCCATAGGGAGCTTCACCGAAGGCCCCAGTGGCGACGTTCGCATGTAGACGTCTCGCCCGTTTCGGCACACCCCTCACACAGTTTGTGGCCCTACAGGGAGCTCCACATCAGACCCCAGTGGCGACGTTCGCATATGGCCGTCACGACCGCGTGGGCGCAACCCTCACGCGCGTCGTGGCCCCATAGGGAGTCCCATTGAAGGCCCCGGTGGGAACGTTCGCATGTGGGCGTCCCGCCCGTTTCGGCACATTGCTTACACGCTTTGTGGCCCCATCAGGAGCTCCACCGAAGGCTCCGCCTGCATGCCGCACCCGTTCTGGCACACCCCTCATACGCTTCGTAGCCCCTTCGGAGCTCCACCTGAGGCCCCAGTGGACGTCACGCCCGTTTTGGCACACCACTCATACGTTTCGCGTGC